TCTCTGGAGAGATTCAGAACCTGCCTGGATGTGACCCTGTGCAACCTTCTCTAGGTGATCCTGCTTTAGCAGGAGGGTTGGAGTAGATGATCTTCAGCGGTCCCTTCCAACCCCTACCATTCTGTGATTCTGTGATCTAATTTGAAGCCATTTTTAGCCAAATGTTCCAGAAGCTAAACATGACAGACATGCTAGGGAACAAACAGCACATAGAGGCAATCTTGTTTATTTTTAAACCAAGGAATAGCACTTGGGTTGATTATGTAGTCACCAAGACAACATTAATCACAAGCAAGTGATAACGTTCAGTCTGGACAATATATCCAGTTATACATATCAAGCTTTGTTCCTAACAGATAAGCTGAAAAATTTTGTGACATGCCTTTTTACAATATGACTAGTGTTACAAACTTCCTGTCATTATACTAATAAATGCACAGATCTAAACAGCAGCAATTCCTTGCTGAAACAACCATCTTTGAACACAAGGAGGTAATGTTACGTGTCCCACAAGGTTAGCCAAAGGTGCAGTAAGAATCTTTTCTATGCTGAAGGGTCTCCTAGGATCAATAGCATATGAATACACTACAGGCAAACACTAGAGTAATCGGAAGGAATCAGACAAACAACCCACTCCCACTGGCTTCTTCTGTAAGTGCCTATCTTATAAGTAAGTCGCTGGAGCTGCATATACCAGAGGGGCTTAGCTGGATATAAGTGATCTAGCATACTGTGAACAGAAAGGAAAGCTGTGTAGTCCAGCTGCAGGCACCACAGTGCTTACTGAGACAATAAAAGCATGGTCTGAAGTTCAAAGTAGCTGAATCGTGTCTTATTGGGTGGTGTTAATAGAAGGAGTGTCCTCAAATTGCACAGGGATACATCTGCCCTGCTGTGAGATACTGAAGCATTACCTGGGCAGACACTGAAAACAGCTGGGGGAGGGGGCACACAGCAGGGCAGAGGCAAGCATATTACCTGCAGGACTGGCTTCACAACGTGAGAGCAGACTGACTGCTAGAACTGTCTACAATGCCTTGGTAGCTTTCTCTGAGTTTAATGTAACACCCTATTCACTCATGTGCAGTAAGAAAAGCTGCAGGTGCCAGGTTACATACAACAGATTTGTGCCAAAGATCACTTTTTCAGGCCTCTAGCAAGAAGCCCAGTATCCTCATCTGTCTTCTTTCAGAAGTTACTCTTAGTACCGTATTTTAAGATTCAGGAGGTAGGGACACTTCCACACGTGTGAGATTCAGCAATGAACTAGGATCTATTATTTCTAGCTCTAACAGCACTCCTTGACACTGCAGAGGAAAGAAATAAAGCTAATTAAGTTTCTGAATCCCAGCTCTAGAATATTATTGCTGAACTGTTGCACGCATTCAACCAGATGGCATTGGTTAGTCAATTCTTTAAAAAGCAACAGGTAAGTTCAACAGCCAGAATGAACTTATTTCAGGGAAAAGTAGCAGCAGCAGCAACAACAAAATCTAGAGTGCCAACACAGCAGACAATTGTTTCAAAGAGGAGACAGAGAACTATCTAAGGAAAAACAGTAATGAATTTGGGAAGAAGAAACAGAACTTAGCTTCCACAAAACCTCTTCAAAGTTAAAAACTCATGTGGAAAGAACAGGTTTTGGGAGAATAGGTGCAGTGTCATGGTTTAACCTGGTAGGCAGCTAAAACAACCACAGAGCTGTTCACTCACTCCCCCTTCCCCTCATGGGATGGGGGAGAGAATTGAAAAGAAAAAAAAAAAGGTAAAACTTGTGGGTTGAGATAAAGACAGTTTAATAGGACAGAAAAGGAAGATGATGATGATAACAACAAAAACAATAATAGAATATACAAAACAAGTGATGCACAGCACAATTTCTCACCACCTGAAGCCGATGCTCAGCCTGTTCCTGAGCCACACTGCCTCCAGGCCAACCCCCATTATATACTAAGCTTGACGTCATATGGTATGAAATATCTCTTTGGCCCGTTTGGGTCAGCTGTCCTGGCTGCGTCCCCTCCCAACTCCTTGGGCACCCCCTGCCTTCTCATTGGCAGGACAGTGTGAGAAGCTGAAAAGTCCTTGAGTATGTGGCAACAACTAAAACACCAGTGTCTTATCAACACATCCTAAATCCAAAACACAGCACTATACCAGCTGCTAGGAAGAAAATTAACTTTATCACTGTGAAACGAGGACATGCATTACCACACTGCTTAAAAAATGACACACACTTTCATTACTCCTCTCCCTTTTCCTGGAAGCTATCCCCTGCTAGACAAATAGCCTAGTAGTAAATACGCTTGAGATACTATTTCTTTTTAAAAGGTTCATGAAAACAGTATCAGACTTACAGCTTGTCCATTTGCTTCATAAAGTGGGCATTTTTGTTTGATCTTAGCCAATTCCATATTCACTTGTTTGCTGACCACAGCCATGGGATTTCCTCCTGGAAAACATTTTGTATAGTTAACAGAGTACTCCTGCAAAGTTTGTCTGCAATTAAATAATAATTCCACATTTAAAGCTATTTCAGAGACTAAACACAACAAATCTAGTGCAAAGTGCATTCCAGTGAAGTAGTGTAATACTGTCAAAGGTCTACTCTTCACAGCAATTCTTGCAACAAGATTATGAAAAAAACCCCACCACCTACCCACCAACACATAAAGGACAGTATGTAAAAAGGTCTGATTATAAAAGCAGAGTCCTAGGAGGGGGGCAGCAACCTTAGTATAATTGTAGAATAGAGTTTTGAAGTTGGTCTAAATAAGCTCATGTTTCAAGCTCAACAACCTATTAAAAATTTTAGTTCTTCCATGGTTTACTAACAAACCCAGAAAAGATCCCATAACTTCAGTCTTTCACCTTCCCAAACCACAAGCTCAACCCCTTCAGTAGTCTTCCCTCCTCACATCTCTTCCAGATTCAGAAATGTGAAGGATGCCCTTCAAACCATCTCGTTCACTACAGGAATCTCTTTGTCCACATTATATTTTGCCTCATTCAAGGCAAAGGGTAGGTTATTTTGGAATGGAAACATCTATGATTAATTATTACAGTCTTTCACTAGGCAACCTTAAATCTCTTTATCAGGACTGTGCAACTTCAGTATTATTTGTCTGGAAACAATTTCTGTATGCAATTTAAAAGGACTAATCATAAGACAGACACCAAGATTTGGAAGTCAGTAAAACTCACGTTTTATTATAGGTTTTATAATATTTTATCATTTCACTGCATTACAGAAGGGTATTCCACACTAAACACCTGCCCATCATCTTAGCAGAGTAACCAGTATAAATAACTGATGCCATCCCATAAACCAGCATTAAAAAGGAAGAAATATGACTTCTTTGCCATTATTTTTAAAACTATTTTTCAAATCACTTAGAGAAAGGACTTTTGGGGTTTAAATACTGACTTTAAGAAGGGCTTTCTCTTTAGAATGGCTCTGTTCTTCACTCCCCCTCCTCCTGTTTTTTCCCCCCCATGTTAAGTGAAAAAACATATTCCATCTCTGTGGGGTCTCTCCCATTTTTAACTTTGCTATTTGTTCGCTCTTATTTACTCTGCTCTTAGCTACTCAACTAATCCACTCACTACATTCCTACTTCTCCATGTTCAATTTTAGCTTATACTTTGGAAAATCCAAGGGAACAACTAAGCGTTACCAAGAAATTCAGTCCATGGACCTGAGCTCAGAGGCCACTGGCAGCTGGCTAAAGCAGCTTTAGAAAGACTTGCTCAGCAACTGCAGAGAACCCAGTGCAGGTACCACCTTAAAGGAACTGGGCAAAGGAGAAACACACAGAAGGGCGGCACACCAAGGAAAGAGCAAAGAATTCCACTAAGCACAAGCAAACTGTAAAAGAATGGATCTACAACAGTCTGATGACATGACAAGCACCTGTGGGACTTCCGTGACCAATGAGAGCTATGGCACTAACAAAAATCCCAGCTCTTAGTGTGGGCTGCCATCTGTTCTGAAGATTCACTGATGAAAAATGCTAACTGCCAAAGACGCTGAACTGGAGCCTCTACTTTTTTAAACAGTTAAAAATACTCAATTATTTTGCCCGTGAAAGATTTGTAACATCTTGTCCCACAATTTTCCTCCTCGCTCCTTTTTACTTTTAAAAACTCACCAAGTCCTGTTACCACCATTGCTCCTAGATCAGCAACATAGTTCCCTTTGCGAAAGGTAGCAACTCTTCCTCCCACTCGGTCCTTTTAAAAGCACAATATATTAAGCCTCCAGTAACATTTGGCAATACATCTTGAACAAACATAATCATTGAAACTTCTACAGAACATGGAATAAATATTTTCTTACCAAAAGGTTCAATAAATAGAATGTACACTTTTCCAAGAACCTCTGCAAATGAACACTTGATCTCAATTAATTTGCCTAAGTTCAGGGGAAAAAAAGATTAAGTTGCATTTAAAATAAGGGGGCAGGGGGGAAGATGCCTAACCTGATTTGGACAAATTTAACTATCTACTTTAGGATCTGTTGTGATTCTAAAACGAATCCTTCATTATCCATGGATACATTACATTACATACTAGATTTCCTCCTCCCACTTCCTACCGCAAAATCCAGTATCTATACAGGAAACAATTCAATTGTGCTTGAGAAAACAAAATGTTAGGGTTAGAAAAACCATTAGCCAATTACTCCTATCTATTCTCCACAGAAAAGCCAGCTATCAATCAAGAAGACAACCACAAATCAACAGCCCATTTTAGAAGCAGGAAAAAAAGTTGTTGATTCTTGACACACACTACTGACTTAAGGATGAGACTTATTTTCCTACCATTTTAAACTTAAAAAAGGAAAAAAGCCACCTTTCCCTATTCTCAGTCCAGCTAGCAGGATGATATGAGAAAGAAATATAAATTACAATTGGGCAAAGATCCCAAACAGCTACCAATTTATATAAAAATGTAGTTTGATTTTTAGTAATTAAAACAGCAATTCAGAAGCATGTAAACTAACAGTCTAACAGTTACAGAAAATGAGTAGACACAAAGAAACTGCAACTTGAATCACTGAAATCATGATGTGAGAAAACACCAGACAGTCTTAAAAAAATGAAAATTACAGACTACTCAAGAAGAGTTGCAGCAGTCTAGAGAAAAATGCACAATATTTTTCAGTCATTATTTTTAAATAGCCTCTTGCCAGATCTACATACTGGTTATAACAAAGATGCATAGAACAAAACCCAGGTTACAGCACAGATCTCTTTCTTCCAGCTTAAAAAAACAATCCAAAAACCAAAACCAAAACAGACAAACAAGCCAAAAAAACCCAAACCCCACAATACATTCAGGTGAGCAAAAGAGTCTTAAAAGATTGTTGCGCTCTCCTTCGCTCTAGTGGTATGGAACCTGTGAAGCACAGAGCCTGCGGCTCTTGCTCCCTAGCAAGAAGAGCAGTAGCTAGCAAAATTAAAAGCCCGAAACATCACTAATAAAAAAAACCAAACAGGCAAATTATTTTCATTTGTGCTAGAATGTCAGAAGTAAATACACAAACAAAATGAAGTCGTGGAGTAAAACATAAGATAAACTCCAATTTAATTTGTCAATGGATTTATTTTAAATTAGTATCAAGCTGTTATTGATTAGATTATATGAAAAAAAATTCAACTTCAAAAAAAGGGGATATTCCAACTCAAGGCTAGATATAAAAGAATACCTTATTCCTGGAAGAACAATCAGCTAGTTCACGCACCACAAAATGTAGCTCTATATAACTTTAAAGCCTCTGTTAAACACATAGTAATAAAGAATTAATGTAGACTTAAAAGGTGCAAGAAAAATATCCTGCCTGATGTTGTATGGCAATTCCAAACAATGATTCTATTCAATGGACAAGTTCTTGAAATACAGACTTACATTCTGCCTTTCAGCGAAAAATCATGAAAGGAAGAAGATTCCAGGCTATTACTGGTGTAAGCATATGACACTAGCACCTGACTATAGAAGTCCACCCCTGAGAAAGCATTAGCCAACTCCCAATGAGAACTGATCACTTGTTTCCCAGTGAGGCAAGTTTAGTACTTAGCAATACATCCCAGCTGCCTGTAACTACACGCAAGCCTACCCAGCTCGGGCATGCTGCTGGGATACTTAGCCTTATGCTAGTACTGACTGTGGTTACTGGTTAAGTGTCTGTATTGAAGTAAATAGCACAGAGATTCATACCCGGGCTTCCAGAACTGTGACATCCATTCCAAAACTCTGCAACTGGCGAGCTGCTGCCAACCCAGAGACTCCAGAACCGATAATGATCACCTTTCCAGTCTTCTTGGCTAAAGAAAGGGAAAAATAAGCTACAGGCTCTATATGTGCATTACTACGTTGCAAGCAGTCATGTTAAAGTTGCATTTAAAAGATACCAAGAACAAAAAGAAGCTTCCTTCTCATCCATAGTTCTGACAGAACAAACTCTTTAATAGAACAAACAGCCACAAAAAGAAAATGGAAGCGATCATGTACCTAATATGGTAACAGTAAAACACTTCACATTTTTTCTTAATGAGACAGGTACAAGAAAAATACACCTGTAGCGCATCTGTGTCAAGGAAGAAAACAGGAGGAAAAATACTTCTGAAGGATAATTGTTTGAAGAAACTGATTCTTAATTACTGTAGGACAAAGTATTATAGTTTTATTTCTTTCTGCCCCAGAAGAACAAAACCTAGAAAGGACAGATAATTTCAGCATTTCTAAAATTCAAGCATTATATAAACATGTAACAGATCTAAGTACAATACTATGTTTCTGTCCTTTGTTATTGAAACAAGGAACAAAGATAACTCATTAAACAGCAACAGTCACTGTATTATCTACAGAAGATTTGCAAACACTTTCCCCTCTCAAAGTGATTTACTTAAATACATGGCTTCTCCATGCCAAAATAAAAAACCCATGAACATGTAGAGCCAGGTGGCTTTACAGGCTTATTTTCTCAGCACCGCAAAGCTTAAAAAAGCACTCAAAAATTTGTCCCCTAACAAATCACAAAACAATAAAACAAAACTCCAATCAGAGACAATTTTCAAGTTTCTTACTTGGAAGGGGTTTCACTCTTTTGTAGATACCAAAATTGATTAGACCATGCCGCTCCAGATAGCTGTGTACTCTGTGAACAAGCACCGTATCACCTAAAAAATTGTAATGTTTTAAAATTATTCTGTATGTTCAGCAGCATGTATGTACTGCAAAACCAGCAATCCAGCAAAGTCACACTGAACATATCCCTTTCTGCACGTCCATCTGCCCTACTGAAGAATCCATGTTCCTGAAGAAGGCTGTGGTTAAAGTTTTCTGGAAACCACAAGCTGTTTTCCATACTATACTGCAGCTTTGAATACCGCCTGAAAAGCGGTACAGGACATTAAATGCTTCTATTTACCTACTGTGGAAGAACATCTTTTCTGAAATTGACTGCACAAATCCGGAAATCTTTACAAAGAACCGTAATGCGATTTGCCAGTATTAAGCCAACCCATTACTGAGGCACTGAATTCTCTCTTTTGTTTTTACAAACACAATAATTCACTATTTTCAATCTTAACAGTGTATCTGTGTTCACTTCAGCATTATTTTCTTCTTTATTTACTACTTCTTTATGGCTCCCCTCTACCCTTTTCCAGTTTGTTGGGACCTTTTTTGAGAAGGGTGGAATGGCCTACAACTGCAAGCAATAACTCCTTGCTCTTATTTCCTTCTTTCATCATGGCCAGTCTGTTCAAGACTTATGCAACTTTTTAATGCCTCTCAGAAGCCTTATGATTAAGAAAATCTCACAGCTGCAAGCCACCATGAAGCTGTAGCAAACCCTAAAAGTTGCATGTGAATTCATTCACAGGAAACTTCTGTAACAACTCATCTTTGAATTCTGCTAGGGATATATTTCTTTACCAGACAAATGAACTGTAACAAACCTGAAACATGAGCATACTGCAATATCCCATTCTGTACGTGAACACTCATGGAGCACAACAAAAGGACCCATCTGAAGTCCTCTTTTTATTCAGAGCAGCTTTTTCCCTAACCAAAACTAAAAAAGAATAGCAACGATACATACGGTATGGTTTTGCAGTGAAAGACTTAACTTACTATTATAAGGTGCTTCTAATTGTTGGATAGTTGCCTCAAATGTCAACTGAATCTTTGGGTTATCCAACCAGAGCTGCAGCTGTATTTAAACAAACAATAAAAGACACTTTTTAAGCAATACAAGAGGTGTTTACCATGTGCATGTTTGTTACCAAATACTGTTAGGAGATGAAAAACTCTTAAGTTAAACTTTGGCAGTGCTATTCAAGCCGCACTGAACTTTGCCTTCCAGTGTTCTTTAAGGTGCAATACAGTCCATTTTAACTTCCTACACCATTTCAAATAAGTGGAAAGGCATCAAGTTAGCAATCTCTTAATCACACATGCAAGAAAATATACACAGCAAGAACAAAAGCTACAAAATGGAAGCACCAGGATGCTTATAAGTGTAGCCTTCCTTCTACCTGCACGGCATGTGGTATGTGTGATATTTTAAGCATACAACATCAGCAGCATCTGACTTTTCAGCATCAAATTTCACATTATTTTTGTAAAATCTGCAGAAGTACTTGTCATCTTATGAAGTTTATTTATCTCAGACCTTTAATCATCTAATCTATCTTCACTGGTATAAGACACTACCATGGACCACACTGGCCACGTATGCACAAGAAAGAACAGCTGGAGGACAGTTACTGTTCAAAAACCAAGCAGGAAGAGCTGCCTGTGAAAATATTAATTATGTCACCACGCTAGAAAAAAAAGCACAAAATAAAATCACAACTGTTTTCCCAACAGAAATCCTACTTCATGGCATGGATGGCAATAGTTAAATAACATTTTACCATTCAATGCTAGATCTAGGTCATACATAGCATCCCCACACCATTTTACATTCCAGAATTAGTCATTTATTCGGGTATTTCTCTACAATTGTACTACTGAACTTCACGGCTCCTCACAGATACCAAATTAAAGTGGAAATCACCTAAGTATAACGAACAGGAAAGATTAAGAAAGAATTTCCATATAATTTGGGAGGCAATTTGAGGCAAATTTCATCTCTAGCATACTACTTTCTTCTACTCGCTTTCCAAGTGATTTTTAACAATGTTCTTTCTGATCATTTCTGAGTGTGGAACTAACCATTTCGTAGTACTACATACAATAATGCTCAGATTCCATTCTCAGTTGGAAGAGTACAAAGCCCATAATCTATATTTTTAATATAAATCTCTACGTATGTATATACGCAATTACTTTCATTACGCACATTAGTTTACTTTTATTTAAAATTAATTTCATCTGCTATGTCATCACCCAGTTACTTGTAAGAGTCTTCATCCTTTTCAGTTTTTGTAGTCCTCATTTTACTACCTAAAATAACTTAGCATGTGCAGCAAAAGACCATTTCTTTACAAATTCTGATTTTTAGACCCTCCACAAATACACAGAACAGTGCAGGCCTTTAGAGATTTTAAAGGCTTCAAACCACAAATGCCCTGCATTGCCACAATAGATCATTTATCCTACATTCTGCTTTGTAAATTTTCATGATCTGCTTTAGCCAACTGTAATTTAGCATGAGCTTTTACTGTTTTAGGGTTTTTTTCATTGATTGGTTGGTGGGGTTTTTTGTTTTGGGGAGGGGGGAAGATTCATTTAGAAGATCACATGAAGTAGATCTCCATTGTTCACTTTCTCATGAGTCCTTTGAAGAACTCCAATGGACTGTAAAGGATGTCTTCCCTTTATAAAACCTACTGTGAGCCTTCAACAATACATTTTTACTTACCAGATCATTCATTCAATTCTTGATTCCTCTCATTACCAGGCAAATTGGAAATATCAGGCTTACTAGTCTAACTCTAACCTCCGTGAACTCTGGGTGTGCATGCCCTCTTCAATATTTTCAAATCCCTTGGTACTGTGCAAGCTGTAAGTCCAAGGATGCACACTGCAGTTCACAGCTCTTCCAGGGCTCTGCTGAGCACTGAGTTTGTATTACCATTTGCTTCATCTGCTGTTCCATAACCTCTGCTATCCTGACCAGAGGAGATCCCCTCACAAGTCTAACTCAGAAAGGGATTCCTGCTTAGGAACTTCTAAGTTCCTCCACAGCGAGTAAGGACTGAAGACCAACAATGCAGCTTTTGTAGTGCAGCCCTGCAAATACCCCTTCCAAGCATTCCTTTAAATCCCAGTCATTTATTAGTTTCAGTGGAAGGCTCTTCTGCTTCTAATGTTGCAAAAGGATTACTCTCTATACATTTTGAACAAACTGTTTTTCAAACTTTTTGGCTTGCCTCGGTCTGCTTATACACATCTCGCGACTTCCCAAAAGTTACAACTTAGGTTGATTAGAGGGAGATTTCACAGGAATTGCAAAAGTCACACTCTTAGCACAAAAATGTCCACCATGCATAAATTTCAAATAACTTCTTTAAGTTATTAAGCATTGGGTGGTACTACGGTTAATACACTGTGATGCCCCTTGATCACCTTAAGTCTGAAAAAAATTGAATGGCGAACAAGGTCTTTTCTCTTTTAAATATGGTAACAAAGCAATTTTCAAAATATTTCTTGCTTTCCTACTGTTAATTTTTCTACCATGACTTAAGTTTTCTAAAGCACTCTTTACTAAGTACAGGAAAAAGCCCTGAACCCTGTTTGTGTGCTGAGGAACCTAAAGCATTGTCACAATTTAAAAGCATCATCTGCAAAACACAATAGTACAGCTTAAGTTTTACTAAGGTTTATACTTCAGACATGCTTGCCTGAACTCAAGTGAATGAACTCCCCAATGAATTATTTTAATATTGCCCCTTCTTACTATATTTTGAATTGCATGGAAGTTTTGAATTGGGCATAAATGTTACAAACATTCAGAAGCGGTTTCATTTCTTCAACATTACAATTTCTTTCGTGAAATCAAAGCTGCCAAAGTAACTATTCTTTTCTGAGAATAAGCCACATGACTGGCTTGATGTCTCAGTATTACAGCAACTGAATACTAAGCAAAGTAAAAAACCAACAGCTCCGAGATTTGCCTTATTCTAAGCAACAATGTATTTGATTGAATATTATTTTAAGTATTCTATAGAGACTTCTTTAAGATCAAGTAATAGAACATTTGCACCAGCTTTCTGTTTCTTTACTTTTTAAAAGCTGTATTAGTTGAATCATGTTGTTTTGATGGTTGTTATGACCGTGTTTTGGATACTGTAAATATGCTACAGAATCTTTATGCTGCCTCACAGCATTGCCTCAATCAAGAACTGGAGAACACCTTCCTTAGCAACTTAAAGCATGATTGGATGTTCAGAAATGAAACCTCACCACCTCAAAAACAAAAAATCTGCCAACTGTTAGACATGGTAACTGCCAAAAAGTCTTTACAAGGTACACAAATGTCCTACTCTTTTTTTTCATCAATACTTTTACAGTAAACTTACGGTGCGGTTCCTGATGTATAGAAACACCTTCTGAGTCTGCTGTGGCCCACTGATTATATCAGGGAAGCAGGCAGCTTCTTGAGATGTCATACGGTCATGTGGAAGTCTACTCTGGAAAGCTGCACCCTCCACACCTACAATAAAAAGACAAGTTGTCTACAGGCACTGCAAAAGGAACTGCTAAACAAGTATTTTTACACTCCCCTCCCTAGCCAGTGCATCCAGCCATGAGGTGATGTGGTGGCCATTTTCATGTCATGCTTTCATTTAGTCCTTTTATTTACTTCTGCAGGACATGCACGTTCCCAAGTCAACAGTTCTTTGAATTACAGATATCGTCTAGGGTTAACAAAAAAAGCTATACTAGAGGGAAAAACTAAAACCCAAAACACTCACAAAACAAACAAAAAACCCCCAAACAATGATAAAAATAAGGGGGCAGGGGCACATATCAATATAATATATATTATATATAACACATATATAATATCAATAAAACATAACTGCTTTAGATGCTGTCCTTCATTTGTGTAGTTTCTAGTTTCTATCAGAATATGAAAAACATTTTGGAATACGTTCAAAGCGAAAGATCTGTAAGATACAAGCACAATGCCTACAGTCCTCCTCTCACCTGCTTTTAGAAGTTTCATTTGCATTGAACTCCTCAAGCTAGAGGAACTCATCTTAACCTGTCCTTTTGCATATTTTATATATTCACAACAGGCAGTGCAATGAAATACAATCCTACTTATGCTTTTCCTGTGTTCCCTCCCCAGGTGCTGCCTATACTCAACAACTGCAGGTTTCTGACTTCTCCTTTTAAATGCTCCACATATAAAAGACTAATGTTGAACATATACAGTAGACATTTTCTCTACGGAAAGATTTCATTCATAAAGGCACCTGTACTTCTATCAATTCAAACACTGGTAATACAGTTATATACCCTACATTCCTCAATCTCATCTGAATGCTATACTATATATAAAGTAACAAACTAAGACACAGCTGCACAAAGTGCACAAGTAGAGTGCAGAAAGCAAATCTGGAGGCCACAGCGAGCAAAATGAAATACTAAGATGTGATATACAGCAAGAACAATATAAATCTCCTATGTGCTAGGAAATTACTTAAGATCAGGACAGAGGAGAGGACATTCGATCTGGAAAGATATAAGCCAATACATCCTAAGGGGAAAAAACCCCACAAGTAATGCAGTAAGATTAAGATAATTTGCTGAAACTGGAATTATTCAAAAGATTACAATAAATATCAAAGAAAAATATAAGCTTGCAGTGTGTTACACTAACCAAGAAAACTGTTTGACAATTTGAAATTAATGTGCAGAGGTACACGTCACTGTATGGGGAAAGGAATTCTGTTCTTTGAATTCTGATGCAACCACACACAACTTTAACTTTCAAGCATTTTTACATCCCAAAGGTGAAGAACAAAATTTAAGCAAGGAAACAGTTGTGAAGCTAACAAAATTCATTCACAAACAAAGATTAGATGATCTGTGTGATGACCCAAGGTAAAGAAAACTGCCTATAATCATTTACAGGAATTTTACAGCAAGAGGAAATTAGTAAAAGAGGGTACAGAGCACTGCAAGAAAGTAAAATTAAATTAACAATAGGAAAAGTTGACACACCCGCAACACTTCTTGACACTCATACTCAGCTATGCAATAGAAACCTGTAGCTCTGCTAGAACTTCAGCTTCTCCAGCAATAAACATTCCCCAGCCTTTTGTAGCCCTTCAGTCTAACACTGGACCAACTGGACAAACATCTATATGTGAATGCATATGCTAAACTACGAACCCTGTAAAACTGTGCATGTAAATCAAAGTTACCAATTCTCTGATACTATATTAATGTTAACAAATCTTAATTAAGGTCCTAGATCATCAAGTGTTAGCAAAAAACTCAACAGCACAATTTTCAGAGAATGGTCAATTAAAAGATTTGAAATGCTGAACCTGACTCTCTCTTACAGACTTATGTTAAAATGAATGTGCCTTCTCCAGATATTTGCTAAAAAGCATTGACTGTCATGCAGTGAACAAGTACCATGAAACTCTCAGACATGCAGATTTAAGGCAACTCACCAGTTTCTTTAAAAGGTTTGCAATTTGTTTCTTCAAATTGAGAAGCCAGAGAAAATGGTGTTCCTAACAGCCTTGGAAAGAACTCCAAGGTGGGGTTTTTTTGGTTGTTTTGTTTTTTGTTTTTTTTAAGGCCACATGTCTTTTATGACAATACTTGAACTTTAAAACTAAAATGTCAGAATAGCTCTGGATGAGCACTGGTATTTAGGAAAAAACCAAACCACAAAGCCAACTGTATGCTGGGCTGCATCGAAAGCAGTGCGGCTAGCAGGTCGAGGTAGGGGATTCCCTGCCCTCTACTCCGCTCTCATGAGAACCCTCTGCAGTGCTGCATCCTACTCTGGGGGCCCCAGGACAAGGACATGGAGCTGTTGGAGCGAGTCCAGAGGAGGCCACGGAGATGATCAGAGGGCTGGAGCACCTCTGCTATGGAGACAGGCTGAGAGAGTTGGGGTTGTTCAGCCTGGAGAAGAGAAGGCTCCAGGAGGGCCTTACAGCCCCTTCTAGTACCTAAAAAAAAAAAAAAAGCTACGGGAAAGCTGGAGAGGGACTCTTTGAAGGGCATGGAGTGACAGGACAAGGGGGAATGGCCTTAAGCTGAAGGAGGGTAGATTTAGGTTAGATATTAGGAAGCAATTCTTTTCTATGACAGTGGTGAGGCAGTGGAACAGGTTGCCCAGAGAAGCTGTGGATGCCCCTGGCTCCCTGGCAGTGTTCAAGGCCAGGTTGGATGGGGCTTTGGGCAACCTGGGCTAGTGGAGGGTGTCCCTGCCCATGGCAGGTGGTGGGAACTAGATGACCTTTGAGGTCCCTTCCAACCCAAACCATTCTATGATTCTATGACAGAGTTTGACACCAGAATTTAGAAAAAGTCTAACTACTATTAGAGAAGATATTTTATTTAGCCCAACTACTGGAAGATTTTATAAGAACTAAATGTCCTTGAATTTACTTTTCCAACTACACAGCTCAAAGTTAAATCCATTTCAGGCTGATTAAATCCTCCCTCTTAGGGCTTGTGTTTCATGAAAGCAACACATTAAAGAGAGTATCAGTTCAGAACTACACACGCTTTCCTTGGGGCAGGCAACTCTAAGGACTGTAGGAATGGCTCTGCTTACACTGGATTCTCACGTCCTCTTCATACACATTCACACACACACTTGCCACTTCCTGACACTCAACATCAGCAACTAATGTCCTGGTTTTGATTATCTTCTTCCCCGCAGAAGAAATATTGAGGGATGCTGTTCATTTAAAGACTTACTGAAACATCTGCAGATGAAAAACACTCTGAAGGAAAGTTATTTGGCTGCTGAATCAGCCAATTGCTATAGCATACCCTCAGCATATATATATGTAATGCAAAATATGGAGAATTTCCAAACAGCCAATGCCTGCCTAAAAATGAAATAGGCAATGCATCCTTAAGCCCACTATCTGTAACAGCCAGAAATTCTGTGCAAGTGGTACGATCCAAGACATAATTAAGCTCCTTTAGTTAGAACAGCAAGGATGCACTCTCAGATGAGTATCTTAAAGGTATATTTGCTTCAAAAAGAGCAACTTGGAGGTACAGAATAGGTTCTGGAACCTTCAACTTCTTTGCTTAAAACCCTAATCCTCAATCCTCAAGTGAGAGCAAAAGTGGCAGAGCTGGAGGAAGATTTTCAGTAGCACTCTAAGTACTTAAGACTAAAGACACCAATTCTGTGACTTAAGCAATAAATGCATGCTGCATCAGAGCTGAGGTCAAATGGCAAATGCAATTCACAATCCAGTCCACTGAGAAGCAGACTAAGAACCTCCAACAGATAAATCTCATGGGCTAACCACTGGCATACAGCTCAAGCACAAACGCCTTCAAAATAAAAAAAAACAAAAGCAAAGGAGCAAAATGGTACTCCACGCTATGTTTCTTCAGCAAATTAGAAAAAAGGTTTACTGTGCTGAAGCCCAGGGTTTTCAGTGTCATTCTAGGTGGTAGAAACTGGCTAGGTAAGAAGTATCTTTTTGCATGTTTGGACTCCTCTAAACATGGAGAGGAGTGGAGGGATGAGAGATCGGCCTGAGGCATTTCAACATAGGTTACTGTCCTTTTCCGCAGTTGGTACAGACCTCAACTGAAATTTGAAAATACCTCTCACTTTTTTAACAAGTGGGTAAACAACTCCTATATCTCTTGCTAAGTTCTGGACAACCGCACCCATGCGCACTTGCAAGCATCAATCCCTAACTTGGCGGCTCTTGCTACTAAGTGGCAAGCATCAAACGCCACCCTCACCTGATGCTTGGCCGTCTCCATACCCTCCAGAATTGTCGTCTTGAAGTCCTCCTGCTTGCCCTGTGGAAGGAAAGAGGAGAACTCAGGGACCTTACTCCATAAGTTAAATCATACTGGACATAAAGGCCCGGCAGTTGGCGTTTTAGGCGTTAAATTTCACCAACTAACTATACCCATTTTCTGAGAATCCCATCTTCTGGAACCTAGGTTCAGGGCACCAAATTCTGTGGTCTTCTAAAGTGTTATCCATGTTACTGGAACGCTTTACATCAGACTTTATGGGAAATAAAGAAGTACACAATATGTAGCATTCCTGGTGGATAAATACTTATGATCAACTTCATTAACAGCTCAGATTTGAATAAGATTACATTTCTTACTGCCAAGATCTGGTGGATGGGTACCATCAGATTCTACATATCTCAAACGGTAAGAATTTGATAATCTTGCCCTTGGTACTCCCGAGTCTCCCCATATGCAAGGGGATAATCTGAACCATTCTGAAAAGCCTCTTACTTACAAGAAAGCCTTTTTTTTTTTTTTTTTTTTTTGCCATAAACCCTTCCTTGAAGCTTGATGACAACATTTTTTGAAAGGCTCAGACTACTTATTTTGGCTTCAGCAACCTTGATACACCAACAATGTTCTAACACATGAAGACCACCTTTGAAGCCAAGTACACGTCAATACCATTGATCAGTAATATGATCAATACACAGCACTGAAAGACATCAGTCTTTCAACGTACCCAAGGGCTGGAAACATGAGGAAAGGCAAAGCACTCATCTGAAAGATCTGAAGGAGACTCAAAATTACCTTAGCCTGCATGTAAGTTCTAAATTGCAGCCTTAACAGGCCTACAACACAACCAGAAACAGTGCATCCCTGCAGGAACAAAGCTAATATAGGTCACCTAACACACTGCTAATCTTCACAGATGCTAGCTCCAAGTTTAGCCTGTAAGCGATATTCTTCCACAGTCAGATATTTGCTAAAGTCTTGTCACCTCCAGAGAGCAGGAAGCTGTGGAACAGAGACATCTGAGCACTGTTCAGCTAGCTTCTCCTCTACCAAGGCTCCATTCAACCATGTGCTTCAACAGTCAGCAAATTGGGTATTTTCTAAAGTCCAAACAAATCCTCACTGAAACAGACTGCTGAGGTCAAGGTAGCAAATGGAGCAGTCACTTCCTAGAGCACAAATGATTAAGGTGTCATCTCCAAACAGGTAAGAGTAAGGTCTAACCTGAGGCTGAACACACAATTGTTAAGATTACTCCTTGGAGTTTGGGATTGAGTGGAGAATTTTGCCAGAATATGATTTGAGGCTCTGAGGGGATACACCAACTTCAATGAATTCCATCTGAACTACAAATTTAACCCCTAAAGCAAGGCACAGAAAGTGAACCAAACATTTTCATACTTTGATAACCTGGATTAATGTCTGGAATGCTGTAACATTACACACCTACAAATAAAATAAAATATGAACTGAAACAAGAAAGCCATTTACACTCAGCTGCAGTAGAGAAGCAATAGTCAGTACTTTTATATGATTAGTCTACCAGCAGGGAAGTTCAGAAACTCAAAAGAGAGACCATAAAGAATAATTGTATTTTGACAGGCCTCAGAAGTCCCCAAATCAGGATTCTACATATCTGCAATAACAAGAGAAAATTCCTCACTTCACCTACTCTGTAAGTCCTTTATTTTGCTGGGAACATTACATTCCATTTTGGGAGAGACTAACACAACCCAAACATTAATATTTATGCTCCAACATGGGCCATTAATTTGCAGGAAAAGTTACACTTGTGCCTTCCATAATTTAAGAAATTGAAAAGATGCTGACATCAGCCTGTGACATCCATTATCCCTGAATTAGCACTGACAATGAGTAAGGGGGACAAAATTGCTCTCAGTTTACTTACAAAAATGAAATCAGTATCTTCCTCTTCTGTTAGTAACAGCTAAAACAACTTCAGTGTTAGGTCAAGAAAAAGCAATACTGTTACTGCCTGCTGGACACAATTCTAAACGCTACCTAGTCTGAGTAGGGAAGTGTGGAAACAAGGCCTGCTAGTGCAGATGGCCTCTCCTTCCCGGTAAGAAAGTCATGTTCCATCTGCAAAGGAACAAAGTAGCAAGCAAACTGCTGATCCATGTTAACATCAAATTATTTCAGCTGAATACATGTGCAGGAACAGAATCTGCTGAAAGGCTCAAGGCAACAGACCAATAGACCGTGAGCTGAACAGCAATCAGGAAGAAGGTCTATAAGGAGTCCACTTCATACAATCATCCACTGTCTTAAAATAAAGAATAGCAGCACACGATTACCACCGAGTACTGAATTTAATTAGGAAAACAGAAGAAGTCAGATGAAAAACAGAGACAGAGCACTACTAGTTTGACTATTCATTTGACATTAACCTGGATGATATTCAGTCTCACACTTCCTCAGAAAACAGCAGCTAGAAACATAAGATTACCACAAAGTAAGAACACTGACAAAACTGAAAAGACAAGAGCAGGTAAAGAAAATCTTCATGAAGCTATAAAAATTAAAATACAATTTGGTGAGGGCAAACAAAAAAAGATCCTTAGAGGAGAAAAATTATAGAAGCAAGCTCCTTGATTTCAAAAGGGATATTGGCAAACAAGAACACAAATGTCAATCAGCACTGAAAGTGAGCTTGAAGCTTTTTGCTGTCAGATAATATGTCTCAAGTAACAAAGAGGTGAGATACTTAATCATGAAATATTGTTACGCCTTTTAAAACTGCTCTGCAATAACATGCAGTAAATCTTGCAAATCCAGACTGTAACAATCTGCATAGCCAAAACATCTGGAATTCCCCACAGCTGAGGACATTAACAGAACCTACCCCAAGTAAGACCAGCATTTCCCTGTCACCTGAAGTGTGATACTTAATAATATCCTTCTACTGTAAACTGTCTGTGAGGACAGACTAATGAAATACCAGCTACTGTCACTGTTACATTTTTAAGTTTGCACAATTAAGCTTTTCAACACAAAAGGTCATAATCTATAACATGACAGCTTTACACTTCTACTGTATTACCTATGTTTTCACAGGCTTTAAACATACAAGGAAATTAAGGACTGCAATGAGAATAAATTAACAGTAACACACAAGCTAACTTTTTGTATTTTGTTAAGTTTTCAATATGCAAACCTGCTCTAGTATCACTGTCCTATTTAATATTTCTTAGTGAGCACTTATATTTTTGCTTCAAAGAAATGTCAGAGAGAGAAAATCTCAATTATAAACACTGCTTCTATATACAGCAGACTCCATGCCTCTTCCTGCTAATGGTTGTTTGCATTAGAAGTTACAATGCACTTTAACAGCCAGCGTAAGATGACCTGATGCTCGACACCTGCATTAATAAAGACAAAGATAGAGAGATCCACCAATGTATATAGTTTCAGAAGTCTTTAAAACTACAGCAAGACTTGCTATGGAATGACAACTGAAAATTTGTCGTCTTCCTACCTCACTGCTTGATGCATATCACAGGTTTTCTAGGAATGAAGAAAGGATATGATGACCTGAAATCTACTTACTTCTAGGCAGCTAGATATAGCCTGTTTTAAAATTGGTTGTATTTAGACAACTAATATACAGTGCTTGCAGAACAACTGCTTAACAGACTGTTGTGAATATAGAACAGCATGAGTCTACCACTGCCTATCTTCCACGTTTCTTCCTTCACGGGATAAAACACTGTACTTCAATTATTATGTTTCAAACTGATTTCAATAATCATTCTTAGAGGCACAAAATAGCATCTGAGATATATCAAGAGTGTATTAATATTAGGTTGCAAGGACTGAACCCAAAGTCTAAGCTAAATTAAATAGTAAACTTAAGATACTTGCTTAATTACACCTATTAAAATTCCTTTTTTGATATATCAGCTACAACTAGGGGTGGGGAGGATTTTTATCATTGCAAATATTTCAGTCAAGGCTATGAGCTATAGTATTCCTGTATCAAGCCAGAAGCTAACAGCCACAGCTGAGGAGAGATTACAGGGGCAAATCCTGAGATAAAACACATTCGCAGCTTTTAATATATTTTCTGATACTGAAGGTAAGTATCCCCAAACTAATGTCAGTCCTATTGTCTACATTCTCAAACCTGCCAGCCAAAAAGAACCCAATTAAGAGCAGTAGAACTGAAGATTAACAGTTACTCACATCAGTGATGAACCAGCAAAAGTTCAACTACTAAATTTCAGCTATTGCCTAAAACTAATCAGCACACACATCATATCATCAAATCTCTCCGACAGCTGAACTTTGCAAAAGCATGATTTTATAGATTGCGATATACCAACACCAGACCTAACTAATGGTGGTAGCCATAAACACAACAGAGGTAAAGAATGGATAGGGTACTGCTAACACCATAAATTTCAAAAGCTGCATCCTGAACAAGACTGACCAAAAAATTTTCCAATGTAAAGTGAAGCTTTACAAGTCTGTCAAAGGTAATGAGGAAAGCACTGAAGTTTAAGCAAACAGTATCCAACCAGAATTTAAGATTAGTCGTAGGTTAAAGCCACGGGAATCACTGTAGATTAAATTTGTTCTCCTGCATAGTGACACTCCCAGAAAATCTAACCTCTTTTCTCTCAGGGGAATAAGTGAATGTTGGTACACAAGCAGGTGTGGCAGCTAAGTGCCAAAGAGCCTATCGTGGTCAATAAGCTTCCAAAGACAAGTCAATAAGGATCCTGAGAATGTAGTATGAGAGTTTTGGGTTAGTTTGGAATTAGATTATGCATATTCCCATCTTTGCCAGGCTGCTCTTCTGTGTTTTCCCCCTCCTTCCACCATGTGGGGCCAGCAAAGAAAACAGTGTAGAACGATCATTCAAAACCAGACACAGGATTCATGATGCTGCACCTGACCCCGCTTAATTTCTGGCAATAAAACAGGTAAGTAGTGTCAGAGGAGAAGGTCTCTCTTTACTCACCAGATGGCTCCTCTGGCTCACTTTCATTCTCTTCTTCTGCAGGAGCTGGTGGAGGTGGCGGTGGTAGTTTTTTCTCTTTTTCAGCTTTAGCATTTCTCTCTTCTTCAGAGTAATACTCATCTTCTGACAGGTTTGCAAGACTCTCATCCATCTCTCTATACTCCACCTGTAAAAAACAGAACAGAGGATAAACACACTGAAGATGTCCCTAAGTTTCACTACTAACACGAACATTGCAAGCAACAAAATTGCTTACAGATCAAAGAAAAGGCCTGAGTTACCTTCTCCAGTCTTATGACAGCTACTATGTTATAAAATCTTAAACAGCTTAACAAATTCCACTTGTTTTTACCTCCACTAAAAAAATGTCTTCGGCACCCACCTGTTCAATAGTAGGAACTTTCTACTCATATCAAGCATAATTTATGTGTATTTCTTATATCATCATTTAACCTCTTTAGTTTTCTTCCCTTCCTTCACCTCCCTGTCAAACTCAGGGATAACAAATTGCCTCTGTGTCCAATCCAATCTTCCAACTTGAATTTATCTGTCAAGCGTGGGTGACCAGAACTGCGCACAAGATTTCATCTTGCCCTGGTACAGGGGATCACATTTGCCTCCTCTCCAGGATGGTCACAGTAGTAGCTCAAGACAAGAGCAAAAAAAAGAGAAAAATCTTTGTTGACATATATGTTTTGTTCTGTTCTCCTGTAAAAATAAATATTACCAGATAAAAAGACTCGCTCCAACTTAAAGAAATGTGGAAACCCAAGAAATAACCTCGAAGGGAAGCACCTCATATTGTTTAATAAACCAAGCATCTTTCCAAGGTAAGAAAGCTTTGTATATTGCCATTGAATTTCCCTATCTATTGGAAAGGAAAAAAGCACTTCTCACAACATGCAGCATATGCAATATGCAGCACAATATGCAGGGAAAAATAAAAAGAAAGCAGTTGGTGTACTTCCAACATCCTACAGGTCAACTTCTACCGCGAGATGACAAAAGCATTGGGAAGCTCATGTATAGGAAAGTCTAAATTCAGTAAAACACTAACACACCCTATGATCTCCTATCTGTCAAATATTTACATTCCACCCTGTCCAGCACATGCAGTTTTTCACACTGTTGAGCAAATGTTGCACCACCAGGATCTTTCGTGAGTTCCCACTCTGAAGCAAGTTAAAACGATCCCACAGCATCGTAAGTATAGTATCACAGGTATCTGAAACCAACACAAACTAGTTCTGCCTTAAGGCTCTCTTAAGTCTCCCATCCTCCTTGAGCTCACACAACTTTCAGAGATCAAGTCCAATAAAAACACCCTAAGCTTTTCCCTAGGTTTATTTTTAACCTGGATACCATCCCCAACTCGGTTCACACCACTAACATTCGCAGTAAGGCAACCTTGTGCTAGCCTGAAGTGATGGTGGGGATATACTGTGTTAAAAGAGATTAATGCTCTTAGCAAATGGGTATTGTTAATGCAGAGAAAGATCACCAAAATACAACCCACAAATAGTGCGCTAATTCCTACTTGTTAACAGACCACTATCAAGCAAGTAAACTGCAGGTATGCTGCCTCTGAAGAACAAAGAATCACAGAATGGTTTAGGTTGGAAGGAACCTTTGAAGATCATCTGGTTCCAACCCCCCTGCCATGGGCAGGGACATGGCCAGTGCCCCCCTCCACTAGCCCAGGTTGCCCAAAGCCCCATTCAACCTGGCCTTGAACAATGCCAGGGACGGGGCACCCACAACTTCTCTGGACAACCTGTTCCAGTGCCTCACCACCCTCATCATAAAAAATTTCTTCCTTATGTCCAATCTACATCAACTCTCTTTCAGTTTAAAAGATGCACCAGACTGACCTACCCAACAGCTCCTATATGCAAAGGATGAGTCCAGCTATCACGTCATATAAGAGCTCTGAAGAGCAAGACATTCAATGCCACAGCTACAGTTCAACCGAGTTCCTAGAAGTAATTTCAGCTTCCATATCAAACACACTCAGCTTTGGACACAGCCAAGATCTTCAAAGTCTTCTGCAACAAGATTTCCAAGAAAAAGTTTCACAAAAAAAATGGTAATGTTCTCAGATGTTCAGAATAACATATGAGAATTACATACCACAGGCCCAAATTATTGGAAGCTGTTTATAGCCTTTAGATCTCATTGCTAAATCTCACCATTAACACAGCATTGGCTCAACTCTCCAACACCAACTGAGGGAAGCTGAAGAACAGTGGAGTGAGTGTGGCCACTACCTTTATAGCATTGCAATACCAGCATCATTCCATGCACAGAAGCCTCAAGACAAGCTGCACCCATATACCCCTAGTAACAACAAGAACGTGCTTGGAAAACATAAGATCATAAGAACGTTGCATAAGATGCAACGGTAGGGTGTTGGGGTTTTTTTTTTGCTGCTTAGATTGCTGGGGGGATAGTCTGGGGGGGGGGGGGGTTTTTTTTTTTTTTTTTACTGCTCAGTATCTGACCAAGAAGCCCTACAAAGTTCCGAGGACTGTTGCAGACTGCTCTCCTTTGTCATAGTGCACGAGTTTTCCCCAGACCTTATGAAGGTGACCTATGACAATATGAGACCTTAATCCGCACTAGCTTCCTGCACGTCTGCAAGCTTATCGTGGAGG